CATTAAAGGTCGAAAATACCATGATCAAGGTGACGGGTTTGGGGGACTTGCGACATTCTTAATTCGCGCCAAAATAGTTCTAAAAATAACCTGGTTGGTGAAAACGCAGTGACAAGAGTACATCCGGGTTCTAGGCTCCTGCCTGTGCGTAGGACTATCCCGACCGTGCTCGTTAAACGCTGGAAAGTTGATTACTGGAACGCCAAAAAGTTACTACAAAATTGCAAAAATCCAAAAAGATGCAACGTAAATTTCTTGATATCTTAAATTTAAACGCTAATTAAAAGCTTAATGTTCCGTTCTACGCAATGATGGTTTACATTGGTAAAGAAGAATGCCTTGAAAATTACCTTTTAAAGAGTTGCTCGCAAATATGTGCGAAACCACAAGTAGCCCAGGCTCACTATGATAGCCCTGAACAACACTATACCTCCTGGCTACGTAATTATTCACACACAAAAAAATTATAAATTCTAGGACGTTATATAAGTATTCTTGTTTTTTAATATATACCGTCAACTCTCTCTTAACGGACACCTCTATAAGACGGACACCTCTGTAAAACGGACACCTAGAGTTGGTTCCTGCCTTTCTTTACTTTTTTTATTTGACTCTTTATAAGACGGACATCTCTCTAAGATGGACACTTAGTAACGGTCCCAAAGGTGTCCGTCTTAGAAAGAGTTGACTGTATATAATTTATCAAAATGTGTATTAAATTTTTCCTAATTACCTTTCAGTTGATCAACACACAAGAAATTCGCATAACTTAAAGTTTTCTGTGAAAGCGTTGAATTATTTGGGTTTAATGTGCTTTAAACCTAATTTTGCTCAAAAATTGCTAAAAAAGGCAAAAGTTGCTCGAGGTTGCGAGACCTGCAAAAAGTTGCTCACAATCGGGACAGGCCTACCTGCAAGCTAAAACGTCTTTCATGGCGGGGAACTGAGCAACCTATTTCCCAGGGTTCTCTCCTACCCGTCCCTACGGAGAGAGAGAGAACATAGGAACGAGGTTGGGACCTGAGTACGACCCGGTATGGTATTGCTGACTCACTCAAACAAATGTCAATATTGGATTGTGTGCAGCTGAGCATGACTAAACACCAGCTGCATGGAAACTATACGTGCAGCCCCAGGTAATAAACGGAACTAGCGCGTTGTAACAAGCTTCGTCAAAACGCACATTCACTGAAAGGCGAGTCAAGGACGTGCCCTTCAAGATCAAATATTAAAAAATGAAATGTCGTCTTGTTGTTCTGTGCGCAAGAACATGCCTGCAACTGATAATCTGTGCATGTAGTTCCCTAACGGAATGGGGATTAATCATCATTAAGGTCGTTGAGTGGTATTTTCGATGCTAGGGTGTTAGATGAGTTGCCAAGGTACAAAACGAAAGTTGGCATTTAAGTTCCGTCCCTATATTTTAATTTCACTGCTACTGGTGCTGGAAGTCAGTGGGTGGTGAAAATTCCTTGTGAATTGGCGACTTGAATTAAGGAATAGACGAACACGGTTGTGAAAGGTGCTAACGGATTATATGATAACCAAAGCCATTTTTACCGAACTTTCCCTCATAAACTAAAACAGCGAGTTCTGGGTTTGAAGCTCGATGTGAAAATTTCGAAACTTGTTTACAAACCCACTCATGGCTGTTGCTAGGTGACACAAGACTGAACTGCAGCTGTGTGCGTGAAGATTGAAACCCATATGAACTGTGAACTTGTTCTCGATGTCGTAGTTTTTCGGCAAAAGCGAATTCTTCACCTACGAACATGGTGAAAATGGTGCTGGCTATAAAAGTTTGATGCGACTACCCATACTCCCTGTTGTGATTTGAAATTACAATGAACAAATATATAATTCTGTTTTGCCAAAATACTAGTACCCAAAATAAACAGCCATTTCAGGTCCATCTCTCTGAAACTGCGCGAGCGCTTTTATATTTATTTCAAAAGTCTGGGATAGTCACCCCTTTAGATTTTGATTTTGACACTGAAGTGAATGAAAACGGGGTAGATTGGAATAGATCCGGAAAAGTTGATTCTGTCTTAAAGAGGATTCAAATAAATCATTTGTAATATTTCCTCGTTTATCAAAAGACTTAGTCATCGCTATTTTTAGTGACGAACAGGTTTTAGTATATTGTGATCACTTTGAAACCAGACGAATTTGCATAACTATTACACTAAAACATTAACGTGCGATGCAACTGATAAAATACATTCGAAAGCTCTCTTAATTTTTTTTTACCATATATGTAATGGTATATCAGACACGATTACCGCTGCTTTTTGTTATTTTCGTAAAAAATGGCGCTTTAATAGAAGAACGCAGTAAATATTTAAATAATTGTAAATAACGGCTTGGTTAGAATTGAAAAGGAGGTGGCGGATAAGAGGAAAAATCTTATCAAACGTGACGACAATATGACATTACACCTTCAACCACAAAACCCAATATGTAAGGGTATCGAAATTGCAAATATCATTTTCAAATCTTGATCGACAGAGAAATTCTCTAATTACATTTAAATCCTCTAAAAATATCCTTTGTTTTGAAGAACCTTGAACGACTATTTTGACATTTGCTAGTGTTAATGATCTAAGATCCTACTTTTGTAAAAATATCTTCCCTTTTAACTTATTCTGAAGTTTCATTCGATGATATATGATGTACTTGGGAGCCCGATTTCTCTCAGATTTGGTCAAACTTGAGTAGGTCATATGACGACCTCCGATTCAAGTCTTTTATTGTACAAGGTGATCTAGGCTTGAGTGTATTTTTCCTGTTTTATAGATTCTTTCTAGTCATCCATTTTTTTTCCTTGGGTGGTTATTGAAAACTGAAATTTATATAAAAAGCATTCATTAGTAATTCCGGTGATAGAAACCCATCAATTGGCATTTTCAATACTACGCGAACCGACTGTCTCCAAGACATTCTTGGGGTGATTCTTATAGCTCAATTTAGCCCATAATCTTACCCAATCTTTTTATCCTTCATTTTCAGGAGACCTTTTTGAATTCATTTATTAGGTTACGTTTTCACCAAGACATTTTTAACCGGTTAAAGTCAGGAAACACAATGAAAACAAGTTGCTCTATAAACAAACAGCGCTTAAAAATGTTCAGCTCATCAAATGCCCTAGTAAAAACACAACCCCAGAGAAACGGTAGTTTTAAAACCTCGATGATGAACAAATCACATAAATCTGGTGCAACCTTTTAAAACCACCCAAAAGATTGATATAAAACCACTTCGAAATATCCAGCGGCGATATATGCTCCCGAATATACACCCACGGCCTCTGAGGAAGTAAAGCCAAATGAATCGGAACGAGCATTTTCCCCAGTCTCTTCCTAACACTTTGTGAAATTAAACGTTGGATTTATGAACAATCCTCGTATTACATGTAAAGGTAGTCGTTAGTGTTCCATGGAATCCCATTTGGAAGGTAAAAAGTCGACGGTAATCGACCGTAATCCGGTCACCATTTCGAAACCACTCATAAAACTAGGGTGGTAGAAAATCGAAACAGCAAAGAATTTCGTCAATTTTTAATGTCCTTCGACATATTCACAAGTGGTAGCAAAACAGATTTTGGTTGTGGCTACCTTTGTTTGCCGATCAGTTGGATCTGTTCTAAATGATTGACTTTGGAAGCGAAGAGAATAATCTCCCGAACAATCATTTCCATTGATTTTTGCTGAAACATTGTTTGCCCAGTGCCGAATTTGCATACGTGAAAGATGGAATCCATTGTTCGTTGTAAATCCACTTCTTTCATTCATTTTCGATTAAAAATTGCCATTAGAAGGAGCAAGTTGTTGTTCTGTCGTAATAATTTTTTTCCACGTCAATGAAGTTTCCAAGAGGACCAGGTTTGGCGAGTTGACTGGGTTGATAAGTTTTTGGATTTATGCAATAAAGGAATTATCTTTTGAAAGGACCTTCAATATGATATTTGTTTGAAATAATACTTCCTGTAGCCTTGCCTGGTGTTTTTGAGCTGTGAAACATAATCGAACCACCTTTTTACCCTCGTGCCACAATGAGTTATTTCCTGTGTTACGTCATTAATAGCGTCACGTGACAACAGGTGAACTAGCATGCGCAGTAGCTTGCCGATTCGTCTACCTTTCGTAAGCAGCAAGAGTAACTGCAAATGGCGTTGACTGAGACGTATTTTTTGTGAAAATACTTCATCGAGCGGTGTTATATCTGGGTTTTCTGAAAGAGCAAACGCCTTTTTACGAGTCTGAGGAGTCGTGAAGTTGTTGCTTTGAGCTACAGTGATAATTTTGTGGTGGGAATTTGGACTTGTTGTAGCTAATTGTAGAGTGCACGAGTTAGATGACTGTTGTCTTGCTCGACCAACCCTCGACCGACGTTGTTAGGTAAGTACAGTGCATCATATTTTCGGCTCCCAGGTACATTACCATGTCCCTGAGATAAAATAGATGAATGAACTTTACCGTACTCCTATTTTTGAGTCGAAAACCGCCACCTATTTCTATGCTATAAAACAATGTTTGTATGTAACTTTCAAGTTATAAGCTTACCTACATCAAGAGCTACTTTGGGTGACATTAGAAGTATCTTGCTCGTCGCTGCTATTCAAGCATTATGCTTCAGTTTAGCTAGATGAGAAACTCTCTACCGGCATGTTTCGTGCTGTTTCATGTAAAAGTGAAAGGAGATACCTTCAATGAATATGATCCATCTTATATGGCTGTACGTGTTGGGTTGGGGAACCATGGGCAAATGCCATGGTTCAAATCAACGCCTACACTAGCTTTGAAACGAATTTTCTTCATTGGTGGTGAACATCTAGTTAGCTTATTCGTCTGTGTTGTATTGTCAAGTGGTCTTAAACGAGTTTTCCTACTTTTGGTCCCATTATGATGCCCTATTGCGACTAGGAATTATATCGATCGACTGCGAGTTTGTCTATCAAATTATTCGTAATTTGACCTTTCTCTTCAAGGTGTAGTGGTTTCTGTAAAATTACAGCCGAATCAAGCCACAATTTTCAGTTTAAAATCGTCAAAAGCAAGTGGTTTCTTTTTATTATGGTTATACGTGTTCAAATCGCGGTACAACGGACGAATCATCTACCTATCTACCTAATCTACCTATCGGCTCCATTATAATTCCTTTTCCAGAAAATTTCTCTTACTTCGATATGATTGTTAACTTCTTTTTATTTTTCAACCTTTATTTCTCTCATGTTTATTGGGAAGTTATAGTGCGCGAAATGTTCACAATAAACCTGAAAAACCACATAAACATGTGCTTGAGTCCGCCATCTTGTTTCAGATTGTGTTTTTTTAATGCGACTAGGCTAACATCGAGATGTGCGCTGCTTCTTTTCCGTTGAGTTTATGTGGAGAATGCCTCAACAAATCTTATGAAAATATGGTTTTATATGTGTTCTTTTATCCTCTACAGAAACACTTATATTTTGAACTTATGGTGGAATTAGTGTAAATGTCTTATGAAGTCGCTACGATAGCGAATGTCGTTTTTGATCGGGAAGACACTTTCAAGTAGTATAAAAGAAAGAAAAATGATATGTGGTTAGGAAATGTTTTTCTTTTCTTCGTTTAGGTATCGATATTAAGCGTATTTCTGCTCCTACGATCCGAGTAAGGTGTGTCCTTGGCTTTAAACCTTCTCCAGTGTTCAAATATTTATCGTTTGCACGAATTGAACCCTTCTTTCGATCCGTGTGTATACCAAAATTTCGATTCTTTCTTTTCACTGTAATTAAGCTTCACGCCCGAGTTTCAGCGCAATAATCCCAGTTGTCTGAAATTGTGGTTTGGGCGAAACGACCCGTCTGATGAAAACGTGATTGTTTGAGCGAGCGAGCTGCCATCTGCCTTCGCTCTCTGCTTTCCTATGCGTGCTATCATTTATGCATGTCCATCGCTATATCAGCCTTATTTCCACATCACACCTATTAATATGTGTTTTAGGGACTGATTTTCTCATATTTAAACCGTTTCGTTGCAAATTTAGCTTCACCTATGTACGAGTACGAGCTAACGCGAATGGGAACACGTCGATCGGTCGTAAATATTCCGTTCCGCTTGGATTTCTGTCGCTATTTGCATGTATTTTTCATGACGTGTTTTTCGCTTTGTCTTGCTGCAGCGTGTTAAGAAATCGAAAGACAGGTTGGCTCCCCTTTCTCGTTCTTTTTGGACTCGAAATGCCCCAGGAAAGTTCTTTTCCGGTGTCAAATCACTAGGGCAGAATTTAGAAATCCAGAATTTCCAATTGCCTTTTGTAGATCTTTGTACAGTTGTCAAAATCTATTATTTGATGTGAGCTCTGGTTGAACATTTCCAGTTGCTTGGCTTGATTAGTTTTCTACAGTTATTGTCAAAAGCTCTTTCATCTCCAACCTATTCTTTTGTTTTTGTTTTTTTGGTTTTATATAGCAAGTTCTACTTTTTTTCCTTTCAAAACCCTGTTGCCATTACTGCAAAATATACATTTGAAGAAGTGGCTTAATATCAGTTGTGTCCGCTTTTATTTTACCACATCATTTGTTCCATTTAAAGCCCCAATTTTTCGCTATGTTTTGTTGATGGAATTAAGATTTATCAGGATTCATAAAAAATGAAGAAACAAGTAACAAGCCCCTTGGATAACATTGTACGATACAGTACATGATCTTACATAGCCGGCCAACATGGTTGTTCAAGAGCAGGTTTCACTTTTAACGTGGCAATTTTAGTGTAGAAGTTCCTAGCACTTGAAACA